TTGTACCTACAAATTTATTTTTCAAACACCATTGGAGGCTCCGACGAGGGGAGAAGCACTCTTCCTATAGGGCACTATGGGCGGACAGGTTTATATATACATTACTGTACGTAACTTATGTAACGATGCATTGGTGAGCCAATGCTATAAACGACTGCACCCCCCCGACAATAGAATTTATAGCTGCATCCCTTGGTGGACTCAAACCCGCGAACACTCTACAGTCTCGCATAGGTGCTCACGCACCTGAGCTGATTATAAAGTAGAGCTAAACATCGACAATCTCACTGTGAGAACACACCAAATACAGGTTATGAGCACAACCTCTCATCAAGGATACCTTTGATGTGCGAATGTTCACTTTTTAGCTTTGACTCTCCAAACTGAGGACACCTCCTTTATTGACACACTGCCGGTCAACCTGTGGTGCTGTTATTCTGAGGGTTTCCATTCTATCTAACACATAGCAAGCAATGTGCTAGTGTGTTGTCCTCTGTTGTCACAGTATGAGTGTGGTTTATGACCCCCAGTCATCTTAGCTGAGTCGCCACAATATCCCTCTAGAGGCTCTGGGAGTTAGATTTGAAGAGGATGATACTAATCATTGTGTGGTGGAGAGACGAAAAATGGACATACGAAAAGAAACGAATTGGGTCAGCACACACCACACACAGTTAGTTGGTCTGGTGTTGGCTATATTGTCAAAAAATCTTTCGTGTCTGTAATGTCCCAAGATCCTCAGAAACAAAAGTCTCACATTTGTAACTCACACATCGACCCCATACGTTTTCTGAATTTGTTTCGGGAATATGTTGACCGTCCATATATAGGTGACAGGTGCTGTAAAATGAAGGTCCTTTGTGGAACATCAAATTGTAGAGCCGACACAATAAGTTGTGAGATAACCTTGAGTTTTAAAACGACAGGAAGACCAGGCCCACATTCTGAGAGCCCCGATGCCGGGGGTGGTGAAGAAGGTCCAGTGCCAGGAGGGAGACTCCGTGGCCCAGGGGACCCTCATTGTCACCCTGGAGGCCATGAAGATGCAGAACCCTCTCTTTGCTCCCATGACTGGCCGAGTGAGTGGAGAGACTAAGTTTTAAGAATAGAACAGTATAGGCACAGTGAAAGAATGTAATTGAGGTCTGTTTTAGTAACATTTCTAATTTATCCCTTATACTGTGCCACATTTCTTTTAATGCGTCGGAGACATAGCACTATAGCCCTAATGGACCACACACCACCCAGGTTTCTAATAGTGGGTAAAAGAGCGCTCTGCCTAGGCTACAGTGTCGTGGGTTTGAATCTCACCCAGGGTAGCCTAAGTGTGGTTGACTTTTTGCTTTTCCTTTGCCCTGTGGCCTCGTTGATGTTATATAGGGGGTTACTTTTCCTGACACTTGCCCCTAGCCCTGCAAATTAGCAGCCTCTCTTATTCCCCTCATACTACTGTCTTTCTGCTGCAGATCAAGAAGATCCATGTAGCAGAAAATGAGAGCATTGGCGAGGACGAGGTCATTCTAGAGTTCTATGAAGATGACAGCAGTGATGCAGTGGCACAGAGCAGTTCTGCATAAAGAACAAAATGCTTTAGTTTTTGGTGCCATGTGAAATGTTTGGATATACATTTTTGTCGTGTTTTTTGGACAAATGACCTTTGTATTATTATGCACCCACACAACCGTACCTATGTCGGGGGGAAATCAGCCTCCTAATTGGCGAGCGGGAGCGCGCGAACGCCGCGCAGCGTCCGTACGTCGTGCTACTGCGCATGCGTCAGGATAACGCGCTTGCTGCGCATTGCTCTTGCCTCGATCTTTGCGGCCGGACGCGACGAGGCAATGCGATATAATTATAGTGTGAACCTAAGCCACAGCTTCATCTTCGGTGCGCGATCTAGCCAGCGAGAGAACACTCGTCCATTCCAACGGCATTCGCTGCATTGCTTGACCGAGGATCTTTCCCCAATCTTCGTGGCTCCAAGGTGCAAGTTCTAAATAGGCTAGGATGGCTCGTGCATATGTGCTCGCTCCCGCTCGCCCTGCATTCGCCTAATAGAGAAATTGTACGGTATTTTTTTAGTTCTGCAAGAACAAAAGTAGTAGCGTGTGCGCATGCGCACGCCGCGCAAACTGACTTACGTACGTTACGGGTCCGACCGAACATGATATGCAGACGGTTCAAGAAATGGCACTTACCAAGTCGTTAGACACAACAACTGACGGTGATCCCACAGGCCGGGATGGTGACAAAGCGACCAACTTCGGTAATAATCAACCGAAAAATCGGTCAGACAAACGGCGGAAAAGGTCTCTGAGGATCAATACTGTTCGCTGTGGGATAGTTATGATCATACTCCTGGTGATGTTTACACCGCTAATAGTCTCGAGTTTTCCTTTTCCGTGGACAACTGAACAGGTAATGATTGGTGTACTCTCCACAAAACCGATAAAACAATCTACCCCTGAACACTTATCTATAATACATCTTGATTGCCTGCATGGTTTAGCAGTGTTAGCTATGAGGCCTAAAAGTGTGGCATGGACATGAGGCCATGAAATGTTGTCAATAACATAATATCTCTTGCAATGGCATGTGGTAAATAAACAGTAGTGTGGCTTTGGCATGTGGTAGAACCTACGTAAATACTGCTAAATATGTGGTTATACTTTACTTCCTGCAGAGTGTATACACCGGTCCAGTGTGTATTCGGGAACTTCGAGACTACCAAAACCACTCGGCACAACCCCTCTCAACTCTTATCCTGGCAGACCTGGAGGCTACTGGTAGAGAGAAAGAGGTTGTGTGGGCCGTCGGATATCTCCTGAATGCTGTCAATGCCACTCAGAACTGTGTTGAGGGGATTAGGCAATGGCTCTGTGTGAAGCTTTTCACAAGTGAAGATTGCGAGACTCCCTCTAGTTATGACCAGCTGGTATCCATGACCCCATGCCCTGAGAATACAGTTCGTTCTGTCTTGGAAACCTCGGTATATCTTCAGAATTGTGTCCTGCATGCACTTGCAAATGGCTCAATGGAAAACATAATGGGTATAGGCATTTGCACAGTTGAGATTAACTAATCTATTACGATCTGCTCTTTCAGATAATGATATACCAGGAGCGAGGTTGTTTGAGTGCAGGGAAGACTTTTTCTTTGACAACAGCAGCAAGAGATGTGCCCCAGAGTGTGGGAAGTGGACATATACGTCACACAGAGACGACAGAATACTCACTGGATTCAGCATCACTGGAACATTGCTGGCAATACTCATTTCTATAATCTTTGTGGTTGGCTCTGGCATAAAACACAAGCAGATGTGAGACTGTTTCTTTTGATGTCACTCGTATAATCACTTACCTTTCACACATACAGGTTTCGGTTTCCAGCTATTTTCTTAGTTTATTCCTCTGTAACTCTTCTCATCTACGGTTTCTTCAACTTTGCAACAGAATTTGACAGAGGGACAGTAATTTACAGTTCAAGAAATCTTGTCGAAACCCTTGAAAAAGGTGGTGCATCATTCTATTGCCTCTTTGTAGGTATGACTGTTATAATAGCTCACATTGTAAATTCATTAATAATGTTATTTACAGGGGCATTCTCTGTATATGGAAGAGTACAGGTTGTTCTCTGGTGGGTTTCTCATACCTCAGTACTAACATATGGAGTGTTCAGGCCACTCAAGTACCAAATGGCAAGCAATTTGGGCCGGCTCAGATACGTACACATCGGCCTGCTAGTAGCAGGTATCATTCTACCTTTGATCCCAACTCTGATCCACTGGTTTGTGGGAGTGTATGGTGTTGATGCCGTGAGGAACTATACATGCATCCCAGGAGACATACTGCCACTTGAGAACCTGCCTTTTGCCATATTTGGTACTGTCACTTTAGTGATGTTTATGCTTATTGCCTCAAAGATATACCAGATGGTTAGTATGCCATATTGCGTTATATTGTGTATTAAGTGTAGTTGTTTATCTGCAGAGACAAAGAGGTGAGGCTAAGGGGGACAAGTATCTAGTCGAGATTAAAGTGCTCATCATAATATCCGTCTCCATTTTTGGGTTCATTGTCCTGGCTGGCAGTGATTCCATAATACAGTGGGGAGCTGATTCTATCCGCAGAGACGTTGAGGCCTTTTTCAACTGCGAGGCCAGAGGACTAATCCCCGGACTTCACTGCTCCAGAGACTCGTTCAATTCAGCCTTCTCCATACTAGACACTGTTGGCGTTATGGTGCGGGCCATTCTACCAGTTTTCTTCATATTGTTCTTGGTGGATTTCAAGTCAGTCAGGAGATGTCTGCTAGGACACAGGCAGCTAAACTTGCAATTGTCCACTCGACTAACTCTCTCCCAATCTACTATTGTATAGCGATAGAACTTTGTTTGCCCTGGGCAATTATATACCATGTGTAAAAATGTAGTCAGAACACAAAGATGTGATCCTTCTGCCTATGCAAAGCATAAAACTGGCTTATCAGAGCATCAGTAGACACTCTGTGTAGGAATACCCACGTACCAAATGCCTCTGCAAATATGCCCAGCTAAGCCTTCAAAATAAGCAACAATCAAAAAGGCAGAGGGGGTAATTGTGAAGGAGTTGACAAACGAGGCTTGATCAGTGGCATCCCCTAGAGTTAGAGATGGTATGGTCTGAAGATCATAAGCATAGGAAAAATTCATTGATGCCGTGCCTAAAGATCAACCCTCGGCTCGCTTGCGCAGCGAGGGTTACTGTAGTCGTTCTGTCTGTCTGTGTGTCTGTCTACGACTATTCTCGCACTACAGGCTACGAGGCGGCTTATGAGCGATACCAACAGCTTTAGCGGTACATGGGCTAGAAAAATAAAATGGCGATTTTGCTGAAACTACTGCGTTCGAGTGCGACAAACTGACATGGTCGCCGACAGCGTTGCGTGGCCCAACCCATTAATAAGCGGTGCGCATGCGTGTATTAGACGCGCTCACTTCGACCTGATCCGCTTGCTCTGTGTACCTTGGAGGCACAAGAAGCCACAGCGAAGGGTGTGATATCGACTCCCGCATGCTATCTACTACTGTAGCTAGCCAGTGTCAGGACTCTCCGCAAGCTACTAGCGGGAGACCGCGAGTAAACGCCAATCCGCCCCAGGCCCCCAGAGCCCATCCATTCGGCGGTATATACCGCGCATACGCAGTTCGCCGAGGGTTTGCACTTTCATTGATATCAGTTCTGATAATAAGAGATCCACGACAAGAATCTTTTCCTATTTATCAGAAAAGCAACTTGGTAGCGAGGTAGAAGTCAGAAGAACAGAGGATAGAAGAGGAGCAGGGCTGGTGGTAGAGCAACTATAAACAACAGAAATATTATCGCAATCATCGCATACTTGAGTTGTTGTCCTTTGAAAGGCTCCATGTTGTAGGATGACATATTTGAGGCAGTGGTGGTCCTTATCAAAGATACAAGAACCAAAGTAAAGGCAAGGCAAACAAGTGAACTACACCCATGAGAGAGACACAGATCCGACCAATCATTATTGTGGCTGAGTGATCGATCGTTTACGCATGCGCACTAAACAACAAGTCAACAACGCATAATGTTCGCACATTGCCCTGCCAAGATGTAAATCGAGGGACAATCCCAGGGGGAGTCCCTTTCAATTTTTCCTATCGCTCGACTTCTTGGGAGTTGTCTTGATCATCATAACCTCGGTGCACTGGAAGAATCAAGATGTCCCCTCTCACGGGTGCTGAAGACATTTATTGCCTACTTATGCAGATAGCCGAAGCCCCCGAAAACGAAGATCTCAAAGTCGAGCTGCGGAAAACTGCTTCGGGGACGAGAAACGCTTCCCTGGGGGGCGGTGTGGGTGGACTGCTAGGCGCAGCTGCGGGAGCCCTTTTGTTTGGTCCCGTGGGAGCTGTCGCTGGCGCAGCTCTGGGCGCCGCGGCGTGTACGTCAGCAGCCGTGCAAGGAACCGATTTGAAGTCGATCCCAGAGATTCTTAGCGGTGCATCGCGTGAGGATAAGGGGCGGTTGGCGGAAGCGGCCAAACGCGTCTCCGTCGAAATCTCCATTAGGTTGACGATGGGACTGGTGGTACCCCGTGTCACAGAGGAAGCTAGACTATTGCTGGTGCAAGTAATGCGAACTCTTGGCTACTCCCTGCCGAAAGTGATGGAAGAATAGACAGCAGTCGACCTATCAACTTTCAGTTATCGTCATTTACATAATTATTACCATGAAAAGCACTAAAGTGCAAACCCTCGGCGAACTGCGCATGCGCGATACCCCAAAATCGTAGGCTATGCGTTTCTGCGTTTACTCTTGGTCTCCCGCTTAGCCCGCGGAGAGCCTGACACGGGCTAGCGACAGTAGAATGTAGTATGCGGGAGGTGATACACGCCCTTCGTTGCAGCTTTTTGTGCCTTCAAGATACACAAAGCGAGCGGACGCGGTCGAGGTAGCTAAGCCTGTGTTCATTTGCAAATGGCTGGTTTTCACGCCGTAACTCTCGAATGCAGTACTTTTATATACGAAAATCGCCAAATTTAAAATCAAGCCAGTGTGGCGCTATCGCTCTTTTGTTGTCTCCTTGCGCGTGGTGGCGGTAACAGACAGACAGACACACAAACGGACCGCGTGCGCGACGAGGGTTAATAAGTATAACTCCTCTCATCAGCCTGGTTTACACCACACATGACCTGTGTCTCCCGGTAGCTAGCTAAGTGGTATAAAAGGACACCCATGGTCCTGTCGGGAGCACTAAAGAAAGGATGATTGAACAGCCCTGAATTTCTCCTGTGCCACTCTCTCCTTCACACTCAGGCCACAGATACCTGCATGTGGCTATATCAGAGAGTCGGTAGACTCTCTATATAGGGACGACACGGGTGAAATCTCACGTGATCCGCGTACAAAACGACTAAAATCTCGGTGAGAATCACTCCCTAGGCCTTCAAAACATACTAGCAATAGTCTACGGGCCCATATCTACCTATACATGTCCCCCAAGACCTCATACGCACCTTCAGTCGTCCACGTGAGAATTCGCTCATACGCGATTTCACGATTTTCGTGTCATCATCATATTCTTCATCTTCTTCTTCTTCTTCAGACCCGCTAGCTCCTTACCGGAAGCACTTGAAGCGTTGATTTTTTCACAGAACGTCTCCGAATTTGCCGGAGGTGTGCATGCATATCAAGCGATCGTTTCTTTCTTGCCGCAAGTCACTACGGTAGATCGTTGAGCTCTTCCTCGGTAGTCACTGAACAACGCCATTTGTTGCTAACTCAGCATCAGTGAGCCGCATGCGCCGAGGAGGGCGTTTCCAATGCGGCGCGCGCGCATTTTGTCTCGTAAACCTGGTCCACGAACGAGACTATGCCAGGACTGGATGCCTTCAGAGAAAACTACTCTCATCCTTCGGTGCCTTCTGTAAGTCAGTGTGCACATTTGTAAGTGGCTAGCTTGCGTTTTGCTGTTGATTTGCACGAGGAGAAACTTGGCAATCTGCGCCGTGTTACGCGTGCCTTGCCAGGCGCCTTCATTCTTTGTCCCCCAGGTCATAGCTATCATTGTAGTCTGATTACTGAAGCCTGCCTATGAAACCACCCCACCATATGTGCCACAATCTAATTGCATCCTTGTTGGAGACACTACACATACACCCTGCTTCAGGTAGGAGCAGCCCATTAGCTTCTGCTTTCAACAGTTATCTCTACAACACCCATGAACATCAGAGTGACTGAAAATGCAGTGTTGTCATAAGGCGTGAAAAATAGTGGAAACAAGTGGAAAAATCATTTCTTCAAAATGAAAGGGGGACATAGGGATGGCTTGAAGCACCAAAAAGGAAGAAACAAGGGGTCATTACACAGCAAAGGTGCACAAAGCTACATGACACCATCCCTATATCTTTGTGTTATTGTTCACAACCAATCTCGCCCTGCTGACATTTTCCTCCCTAATTGGGAAAGAGCCGCGCTTGCCGTCTCCGTCATTTCCACTCTGCAACAGTTTACCTTGAAGTAAAGTTTAATATGAGACAAAGATATAGGGATGGTGTCATGTAGCTTTGTGCACCTTTGCTGTGTAATGACCCCTTGTTTCTTCCTTTTTGGTGCTTCAAGCCATCCCTATATCCCCCTTTCATTTTGAAGAAATGATTTTTCCACTTGTATACATAATATTAGGTATATACCTCCATCTTTTGAAGCATGTCAGCCAGAAGCTCATCTCCCACGATGGAGGCTTTGCTCCCCTGCACACCACGTACATGACACAATGAAATGTAAACCCTCAGTTCATCCTTACCAACCCCTATACACAGTATTATGCAGAAACCGATTCATGAAGAGTGGTGGCACTAACCTGACCAAACACATAAACCCTTTGCACAGGTGGAGGGTTATTTTGGCGAGAAAAGCGAGCCCACCTAGTCATGCCAACAGGCTGTTTTCCATTTATGTTTTGTAATTGTAAGTTTACTGTGCCATACATAGCACAGTGGTTTAAGGTTTGCCTTTGTGTTAGTGTTGTATTGTGTTGAAGATTTGAACCCCTACCAGCTGAGTTGCCCTGGTAGCTCAGTTGGTAGAGCGCTCGCCTAGACAGCAGAGTATCGTGGGTCCCGAATCCCACCTACACAGGGCAGCTCTTCATTTCCTTGGGGGAAAGTTTTCCTCGGTTTGAGTCCCACCCAGGGCAGCTCTTCTTCTTTTCCTTGGCAGCTTTCCAGAGTGTAGTTGACTTGTTTGCTTAGGCTTGCCTTTCTAACTCACCTTGTTGTTGTCACATGGATGAATAGAGGATACATGTCGATGTGTTGTAGGTCGGTTCTGAGTGAGGGGGAGAAGATGAACTGGTGGCTGCTGCTTGCTACATGCACATATCTCGTGAAGACACAGCCAAACAATTCCTCAACCAAGAGAGGTAATAGTTGTTATTACCAGATTTTAGACACATGTAACCTACCGAGTCTCCTCTACTTACAACTAATCTGATTGCTCTGATTGTGTTGACCGAGGCAGTGAAGTTGGCCATCTGTCGCAGACCACCCTCCCTTCGCTTCTCCCTCTCCTCTCGCCACCTACTGTTACTTGCTTCTCTCTCCCTTCTTCCTCCATTCACTCTAATTGTGTATTGACTTATGTTGGTTTATTGAATACTGGGCACTGCCACATACATATCACCACTGTATTGTGTATGGTGCATTGTGTCATGAGTGTGTGTGTACTTGGCCACGGGCCATGATCCTGTTGTGAGATTGACAAGACACTCGAGCTGTCGTTCCTGCTAGCTGCGAGAACTTAACCCCCTCCCATCCCTCCAGACAGTCAGAGACGGTGGACCTGGAGCCCCAGGACTGGGAACTGGTGGTGAAGTGTGAGGAGGAGAGTGTCCCTGCGTGAGGGTGTGGGGTGGAGTGAGGATGGGCTGGAGGTGAGTCTGGAGGGGAAGGAGGAGCCCTGACAATCAGCACTGATTGGAGGCTGGGAGAGCCTATGATGTTGGATGATGTTGACGGCAGAGAGGTTGCAGTCCAGGTTAGACTTACTGTCTCTACACTCCCGTGTGTGAGAATAGTGTACTGACTTATGATAATATGGTAGGTGCCCCAGCACCATTTCCCATATAAACTGCCCAGGACTAATTTTAACATCAACTGCAGTTTGTACTCTACAAATTATATTTTCAAACACACACAGTATGAAGCTCGACGAGGGAGAAGACTCTTCCTTAGGCACTATGGCAACAAGGTATTATATATACATGTACTGTACGTACTATGTAAGAATCATGGTGAGGCCAAATGCTAAGAAAACAAACTGACAACACCCCAGGACAATAAGAAATTTATGAGCTGCAGCCCTTGGTGAGACTCAAACCCGCACACATCTAACAGTCTAGGCAGAGTGCTCTACCACCTGAGCTGATTATATAGAGCTAAACAGTAGAATCTCCTATAGTGAACACCCAAATAAAGGTTATAAAACAAAACCTCTCAATAAAGGATACCTTTTGAGGTGCGGAATGTTCACTTTTTAGCTTTTTGAACCTCCAAACTGAGGACAACCTCCCTTTAATTGACAAAATGCCTGGTCCCACTGTGTCTGTATTCTGAGGGTTCCATTCTATCTAACACAAAGCAAAGAAGGGTGCTAGTGTGTTGTCCTCTGTTGTCACAGTATGAGGTGGTGGTGTATGACCCCCAGTCAGCTGAGCTGAGTCGCCACATCCCAGAGAGAGGCTCTGTGAGTTAGTTGAAGAGGAGAAATAATACATTGTGTGTGGAGAGAAAAAATGGCAGAACAAAAAGAATTGGGTCAGGCAACAACCACACAGTTAAGTTGGTCTGGTTGGCTATATTGTCAAAAAAATCTTTCTGTGTTCTGTAATGTCCCAAGATCCTCAGATTTCTCACATTTTGTAATACACATCGACCCCATACTTTTCTGAATTTGTTTCGGGAATATGTTACAGTCATATATAGGTGACAGGTTGCTGTAAAATGAAGGTCCTTTGTGGAACCTCAAATTGTAGAGCCGACACAATAAGTTGTAGAGAATAACCTTGAGTTTTAAACGGACAGGAAGACCAGGCCCACATTCTGAGAGCCCCGATGCCGGGGGTGGTGAAGAAGGTCCAGTGCCAGGAGGGAGACTCCGTGGCCCAGGGGACCCTCATTGTCACCCTGGAGGCCATGAAGATGCAGAACCCTCTCTTTGCTCCCATGACTGGACGAGTGAGTGGAGAGACTAAGTTTTAAGAATAGAACAGTATAGGCACAGTGAAAGAATGTAATTGAGGTCTGTTTTAGTAACATTTCTAAATTTATCCCTTATACTGTGCCACATTTCTTTTAATGCGTCGGAGACATAGCACTATAGCCCTAATGGACCACACACCACCCAGGTTTCTAATAGTGGGTAAAAGAGCGCTCTGCCTAGGCTACAGTGTCGTGGGTTTGAATCTCACCCAGGGTAGCCTAAGTGTGGTTGACTTTTTGCTTTTCCTTTGCCCTGTGGCCTCGTTGATGTTATATAGGGGGTTACTTTTCCTGACACTTGCCCCTAGCCCTGGCAAATTAGCAGCCTCTCTTATTCCCCTCATACTACTGTCTTTCTGCTGCAGATCAAGAAGATCCATGTAGCAGAAAATGAGAGCATTGGCGAGGACGAGGTCATTCTAGAGTTCTATGAAGATGACAGCAGTGATGCAGTGGCACAGAGCAGTTCTGCATAAAGAACAAAATGCTTTAGTTTTTGGTGCCATGTGAAATGTTTGGATATACATTTTTGTCGTGTTTTTTGGACAAATGACCTTTGTATTATTATGCACCCACACAACCGTACCTATGTCGGGGGGAAATCAGCCTCCTAATTGGCGAGCGGGAGCGCGCGAACGCCGCGCAGCGTCCGTACGTCGTGCTACTGCGCATGCGTCAGGATAACGCGCTTGCTGCGCATTGCTCTTGCCTCGATCTTTGCGGCAGGACGCGACGAGGCAATGCGATATATTATAGTGTGACCTAAGCCACAGCTCATCTTCGGTGCGCGATCTAGCCAGCGAGAGAAGCACTCGTCCATTCCACGCATTCGCATGCATTGCTTGACCGAGGTTCTTATCCCCAATCTTCGTGGCTCCAAGGTGCAAGTTCTAATAGGCTAGGATGGCTCGTGCATATGTGCTCGCTCCCGCTCGCCCTGCATTCGCCTAATAGAGAAATTGTACGGTATTTTTTTAGTTCTGCAAGAACAAAGTAGTAGCGTGTGCGCATGCGCACGCCGCGCAAACTGACTTACGTACGTTACGGGTCCGACCGACATGATAATATGCAGACGGTTCAAGAATGGCACTTACCAAGTCGTTTAGACACACACACTGACGGTGATCCCACAGGCCGGGATGGTGACAAGCGACCAAACTTCGGTAAATCAACCGAAAAATCGGTCAGACAAACGGCGGAAAAGGCTCTGAGATCAATACTGTGTGCTGTGGGATAGTTATGATCATACTCACTGGGATGTTTACACCGCTAATAGTCTTGAGTTTTCCTTTTCCGTGGACACTGACAGGTAATGATATGTGTATATACTGCCACAAAACCGATAAAACATCCACCCTGAACACTTATCTAATACATTTGATTGCCTGCATGGTTTAGCAGCGTTAGCTATGAGGCCTAAAAGTGTGGCATGACATGAGCCATGAAATGTGTCAATAACATAATACCTCTTGCAATGGCATGTGGTAAATAAACAGTAGTGTGGCTTGGCATGTGGTAGAACCTACGTAATACTGCTAAAGATGTGCTATACTTTACTTCCTGCGAGTGTATACACAGCGGTCCCAGTGTAGTATTCGGGAAACTCGAGACTACAAAACCACTCGGCACAACCCCTCTCAACTCTTTTCCTGGCAGATCTGGAGGCTCTGGTAGTAGAGAAGAGGTTGTGTGGGCCGTCGGTATACTCCTGATGCTGTCAATGCCACTCAGAACTGTGTTGAGGGGATTAGGCAATGGCTCTGTGTGAAGCTTTTCACAAGTGAAGATGCGAGACTCCCTACTAGTTATGACCACTGGTTATCCATGACCCATGCCCTGAGAATACAGTTCGTTTCTGGTCTGGAACCTCGGTATATCTTCAAATTGTGTCCTGCATGCACTTGCAAATGGCTCAATGGAAAACATAATGGGTATAGGCATTTGCACAGTTGAGATTAACCAATCTATTACGAGCTGCTCTTTCAGATAATGATATACCAGGAGCGAGGTTGTTTGAGTGCAGGGAAGACTTTTTCTTTGACAACAGCAGCAAGAGATGTGCCCCAGAGTGTGGGAAGTGGACATATACGTCACACAGAGACGACAGAATACTCACTGGATTCAGCATCACTGGAACATTGCTGGCAATACTCATTTCTATAATCTTTGTGGTTGGCTCTGGCATAAAACACAAGCAGATGTGAGACTGTTTCTTTTGATGTCACTCGTATAATCACTTACCTTTCACACATACAGGTTTCGGTTTCCAGCTATTTTCTTAGTTTATTCCTCTGTAACTCTTCTCATCTACGGTTTCTTCAACTTTGCAACAGAATTTGACAGAGGGACAGTAATTTGCAGTTCAAGAAATCTTGTCGAAACCCTTGAAAAAGGCGCGCATCATTCTATTGCCTCTTTGTAGGTATGACTGTTATAATAGCTCACATTGTAAATTCATTAATAATGTTATTTACAGGGGCATTCTCTGTATATGGAAGAGTACAGGTTGTTCTCTGGTGGGTTTCTCATACCTCAGTACTAACATATGGAGTGTTCAGGCCACTCAAGTACCAAACGGCAAACAATTTGGGCCGGCTCAGATACGTACACATCGGCCTGCTAGTAGCAGGTATCATTCTACCTTTGATCCCAACTCTGATCTACTGGTTTGTGGGAGTGTATGGTGTTGATGTGGTGAGGAACTATACATGCATCCCAGGAGACATACTGCCACTTGAGAACCTGCCTTTTGCCATAGTTTGGTACTGTCATTTTAGTGATGTTTATGCTTATCGCATCAAAGATATACCAGACGGTTAGTATGCCATACTGTGTTATTAACCCTCGGTGCGCATGCGCAGCGAGGGTTACAGTACTTGGGTCTGTGTGTCTGTGTGTGTGTCTGTTACTCTATATCTCACTCCTCGAACGTCTGTTCGTCCCAGGAACGATACCATCTACCCAACGGGCGACGAAGGTCAGAAATAAAGGCGGTTTTCTCTGAAATGCTCCGTTGCGAAGCTAGAGCGCGAAAAAGCCAAATATGCAAATACACAACGGACTTACCACAGTCGGATCGATCGCGTGCTCTGCGTACTTCGGAGGCACAGAGATGCAACGCAGGGCGTGTATCGCCTCTCGCATGCTATCTAGTAGTGTAGTTAGCCCGCGTCAGACTCTGCGCGAGCTGGCAAGAGACCACGGGTAACAGCTAAAACTAAACCCAGCCCATCAATTAGTGGTACGGCGCATGCGTTTACTTACGCGTGCGCGTCACAGTGCGCCGAGGGTTTGCACTTCAGTGCTTTTCATATTGTGTAGTAAGTGTAGTTGTTTATCTGCAGAGACAAAGAGGTGAGGCTAAGGGGGACAAGTATCTAGTCGAGATTAAAGTGCTCATCATAATATCCGTCTCCATTTTTGGGTTCATTGTCCTGGCTGGCAGTGATTCCATAATACAGTGGGGAGCTGATTCTATCCGCAGAGACGTTGAAGCCAGAGGACTAATTCCCGGACTTCACTGCTCCAGAGACTCGTTCAATTCAGCCTTCTCCATACTAGACACTGTTGGCGTTATGGTGCGGGCCATTCTACCAGTTTTCTTCATATTATTTGTTCTTGGTGGATTTCAAGTCAGTCAGGAGATGTCGCTAGGACACAGGCAGCCTAAACTTGCAATTGTCCACTCGACTAACTCTCTCCCATCTACTATTGTAATAGCGATGAACTTTGTTTGCCTGTGCATTACCATGTGTAAAATAATGTAGTCACAACAGAATAGTGGATCCTTCGCTTCGCAACAGCATTATTAAACAACTGGCTTATTAGAACATCGTAGACACTCTGTGTAGGATTATCCCGTCCCACGTATCAGTGCCTCTCGCAACTATGGCCCAGCTACGCACTTCAAACAGCAACAATATTTCAAAACAGGCCGAGGGGTGATTGGACGGACGAGGATCGCTGATCGTTCACACGCATGCGCACTAAACAACAAGTCAACGACGCGCACGCACTCTATCTACAGATGTGCTCTGCTTCATCAACGTATAAATCGAGGGACAATCCAGAGTCCCTGATCATTTCTCTAGTCGCTCGGAGTGTCTTGTCAGCCTACATCGGTGCCTGGAAGCATCAAGAGGGCTCTTCCCCTCTCACGGGTGCGGAAGATATTTACGAACTACGTAGGCGAGATCGTCGAGCCCCAAAACAAAGACCTCAAAGCGAGCTACGGAAAAAAACCAGATTCGGGGACGGCAAACGCTGCCTGGGGGGAAGTGTGGTGGACTGCTAGGCGCAGTGCGGGAGCTCTTTTGTGTGGTTCCCGCGGGAGCGTCGCTGGCAGCAGATCTGGGTGGGCCGCGGCGTTACCGAAGCAGCGTGCTTGTGATTTGAAAAAGAACGTTTCAAGCGATCCAAAGATTCTTAGTGAGGGCTCGACGTGGGGATAAGGGGCGGTGGCGGAAGCGGCCCAAACGCGTCTCCGGCAAAAGGTGACGATGAGACTGGTGGTACCCGGGTCACAGAGGAAGCTAGAGACTGCTGGTGCAAGTAGAAGTTGAATGCGAAATCTTGGCTACTCCCTGTGGAAATCTTTGGAAGAAGAGGAATAGCAGTGCCCTCCTACATGACGTTAATCGTAATTGACATCACGGTTACATTACAAGTACCCGAAAATATACGTTTATAATCCTCTCATCTGATTAATTAAACAATCGGCGCGCATGCAGCTTCAGAGGGGTTTATTTTATAGTTGGTCTGGGTGTTTGTGTATGGTCTGTCTGTCTTGTCGGCTGTATGTCTGTTTGTATGTGTGTGTTGCTACACGTTTTCTGCCACGCGCGCAACAAACCTGGCCAAAAAGCGACCCAACGGGTTCAGCGATAGCTGGTTCATTTTAAATGGCGATTCGTGTCTGCGTCAAGAGTGAAAAAAACCAAGTGAACAGCCATATGACGAGCCACAGGCTTATCTCGAACAGGTCTGTTGCATCGCCTTGTTTGTTATTCTTGAAGGCCACAAAGAAAGTCACACGAAGGGCGCGGTTGATTGACAAAGTGGATGAGAAAGTTGGAAGTTAAGGCTGAGCCACTCTCCCCTCTTCGTTTGTCTTACAGTTTTTTTTACTAGGCTAGTTTGCTGCTGAATTATTGGTATTCTCCAAATATTATATAGTGCTAGTTTTTTTTGGATAAAGGAATGTGTATAATAAGTAAACAATAGATAGTCATGCATTTTATCCAGAGGAATCACTCATAAGATGTCAACCGTAGTTTCTCTAGTCGGGCAAAGAAGTTGTGTTCGTCTAGCTGTCCTCTCAGTGCAAAATCTATTTGAAATGAGGATAATTCACCATTGTTTTTTAAGCTAACAACCAGTTGTCACAATAGAAAAGTGACTGTGAAAAGAAATGACTGTGATCATGGTTATACTTAACTAGGCAAACAAGTACTTTAGAATGTGAGTGAGGGGTAAACTCAATCCTCCAACTCACTTGACATCAGGCTTGCAAGGGCTATGTGAGAGAGAAAGAGTGACCCTCCATAGCATACTGGGACCAGTGTCACTACAGGGTGTGGGCTGTGTGGATGGTTTCCCCCATTCTAGTGTGTGTTGAGGCGTGTGTAGTATGGTTGTAATAGGACCATCTGTATTAAAATCTTAAGTACAATATTGAACAATAAAAAGTCAAAGCCTATTGTGCCTTTTTGCCCTTGAGAGTGGTTGTGTAACTGTTGAAGCTGATTGCTCTTTATAAACGTCCCATAGCCATCAGGATACCTCATTACTAAATGCCGCTTAGGCGTCATTGCTTAACTAGTTGCGGTGGGTGGCATGGTTTGGCTCTAAACACGGTTGTGGACTTCCATGAAATTTGGTTTCTGGACATGAGTCTGATTTGGCTTGAACAATAGATAAATAGACTTCCCTTAGGACTAGCGAAAAGTTGTAGGTGTCTTTAAGACGATGCGTTGCAAAATATCCATGCCAGCTAGACAAAGACAACAGCTGTGTTTGTACATGTATCCAGTCTCGGTACAGGATGGATGTGTACTTTGGGGTAAGGAAGACCCAAGGTGTTACAACAACTTCATGATGGACATCCTGGTGCATGATGCGAATTAAAAGCATCACCTGGAGTCTTACCTGTTGGCCAGGTTTTGACAACGACGTAGAGCAGACAGTACGTAATAGTCAACAGAATCAAAATTTCCCAGCCCCTGCCCTGCTGCATTCGTCGGAATGGCTAAGTCATCCCTGGACAAGTATTAACGTAATTATTATGGAGTGTTCAGGCCACTAACGGCAAGCAATTTGGGCCGGCTCAGATACGTACACATTGGCCTGCCTGCCCTGCACTCAATGCGGACGGGAAAGCCATAGCACAACAGAGATACCCCGCACAGAACTCCCTGATGAAGTTACAGGTGCAAGTAGCGGGTATCATTCCATTCATATCTGTGATCCCACTCTGATCTACTGGTTTGAGGTGGGAGTGTAGGTGGTGTTGACGTCGTGCGTGAGGAACTATAACATGCACCAGGAGACTATTGCTAGTACGTTGAGAACCTGCCGTTTGCCATATTTGTACTGTCACTTAGTGATGTTGTAATATGCTTATTGCTCAAAGATATACCAGATGGTTAGTATGCCATATTGCGTTATATTGGTGTATTAAGTGATAGTTGTTTATCTGCAGAGACAAAGGTAAGGCTAGGGGGACAAGTATCTAATCGAGATTAAGTGCTCATCATAATATCCGTCTCCATTTTTGTTTCATTGTCCTGGCTGGCAGTTGATTCCATAATACAGTGGGAGCTGATTCTATCCGCAGAGACGTTGAGGCCTTTTTCAACTGCGAGGCCAGAGGACTAATCCTGGACTTCACTGCTCCAGAGATTCGTTCAATTCAGCCTTCTCCATACTAGACACTGTTGGCGTTATGGTGCGGGGCCATTCTAACCATTGTTCTTCATATTGTTCTTGGTGGATTTCAAGTCAGTCAGGAGATGTCTGCTAGGACGCAGGCAGCTAAACTTGCAATTGTCCACTCGACTAACTCTCTCCCAATCTACTATTGTATAGCGATAGAACTTTGTTTGCCCTGGGCAATTACCATGTGTAAAATAATGTAGTCACAACACAAAGATGTGATCCTTCTGCCTATACGCAAAGCATAAAACTGGCTTATCAGAGCATCAGTATATAGACACTCTGTGTAGGAAGCTCACTACCATGCTCTGCAAATTATGCCCAGCTAAGCCTTCAAAAAAGCAACAATAAAACAGCCGAGGGTGGGTTTGGTAGGATCGGTGGGTGGGGGGTAGGGGGGGTTAATGGGGGTAATTGGGAAGGATTGACAAACGAAGCTCTGATCAGTTTGAATCCCTAGGTAGAGCTGGCATGGTAGAAGATCATCAGCATAGGAAAAACTCATTGATGCCGTGCCTACAGATCTTGATTGTTGATATCAGTTCTGATAATAAGAGATCCATTACAAGAATCTTTCCTATTTATCAGAAAAGCATGTCTCAACAACTTGGTAGTGAGGTATATAGAAGTCGGAAGAACAGAGGATAGAAGAGGAGCAGGAACTGGTGTGGTAGGGAAATAGGGCAACTATTATAATTATAAACAACATGAAATGTAAATCGAGGGACAATCCCAGGGGGAGTCCCTTTCAATTTCTCCTAGCGCTCGACTCGAGTTGTCTTGATCATCGGTGTACTGGAAGAATCAAGATGGCTCTTTTCTCCCCTCTCACGGGTGCTGAAGATATTTATTGCCTACTGATGCAGATAGCCGAAGCCGCCGAAAACAAAGACCTCAAAGTCGAGCTGCGGAAAACAGCATCGGGGACGAGAAACGCTTCCCTGGGGGGCGGTGTGGGTGGACTGCTAGGCGCAGCTGCCGGAGCCCTTTTGTTTGGTCCCGTGGGAGCTGTCGCTGGCGCAGCTCTGGGCGCCGCGGCGTGTACCTCAGCAGCCGTGCAAGGAACCGATTTCAAGTCGATCCCAGAGATTCTTAGCGGTGCATCGCGTGAGGATAAGGGGCGGTTGGCGGAAGCGGCCAAACGCGTCTCCGTCGAAATCTCCATTAGGTTGACGATGGGACTGGTGGTACCCCGTGTCACAGAGGAAGCTAGACTATTGCTGGTGCAAGTAATGCGAACTCTTGGCTACTCCCTGCCGAAAGTGATGGAAGAATAGACAGCAGTCGACCTATCATGACTTCAGTTATCGTCATTTACATCACTGTATAGCAAACCCTCGGCGAACTGCGCATGCGCGATACCGCAAATGTAGTAGGCTACGCGTTTCTGCGTTTACTCTTGGTCTCCCGCTAAGCTCGCGGAGAGCCTGACACGGGCTAGCGACAGTAGAATGTAGTATGCGGGAGGTGATACACGCCCTTCGTTGCAGCGTTTTGTGTCTTCAAGATACACAGAGCGAGCGGACGCGGTCGATGTAGCTAGCTAAGCCTGTGTTCATTTGCAAATGGCCTTTTCAGTTGGTTTTCACGCCGTAGCTCTCGATGCACTACGAAAATCGTGCAAATTTAAAATCAAGCCAGTGTGGCGCTATCGCTCTTTTGTTGTCTCCTTGCGCGT